ACAAATGGATAGACAGAGTGATGTTCTGACACATATTACAACATGAATGGACCTTGGGGACATTGTGGTTAAAATAAACCAGGCATGAAAGAACTAGTTTAGTATAGTTCAACTGATGTGGAGGGTGGAATCATGGAGAAGAAAGTAGAATGGAGGTTGCCTAAGGCAGGGGAATAGGACAACTGGAAGTTCTTGAGTGTGGGGTTTCCTCTTTGGGATGATGAAAAGGTTCTGGAACTGAATGGTGGTGGTGATTGTGCAACAGGGTGGGTGTGCTTGGTGTTGCTGAATTACACATTTTAAAAAATGGTTAAAATGGTGAACATTATGTTATGTGTGTTTTACCAAAAAGTAAATTAAAATGCATAGAAAAAGTATAGCATTAACATTCTGAACATGACTAGTAGAATGTCAGAATCCATACAGTCATTGAGAAATGTGTATGAAGTGCCAGCAAAAAGAAAATACCAGGGAAACAAACTAAGTGTCCATCAGCAAAAAAATGCATGGATAAGGAAGTTTGTTTTATATATATATAAAAATAAAACACTACAGCATACAGGGATCTCCCAGTTTAAGAAGGTTCACATTACACCACTTTGTGTTAACAAAAGGCTTACATTAGTACCTGCTTTGCGCAGCTGTAAGAAACTTAAAGAGGGTTTTTGCTTTTACAAAGATGGGGAGAAAGTGAACATAGCACTCAAGAATTTGTTTTGCTGCAAGTTGTTATAGAGGCATCATGCACCCCAACACGAGAGTGTTCCTCCAAGCTCCTCTCCCAGGAACCATGCTCAACATGTCAGCAACAAGCCATCAGACCTTTAAGCTGCATCTGTGAGCTCCTGTGTTTTATTTCTATTTCTTTTGTGTGCCCATTAGAATGCGTCCTAAGGTAACAGAAATGTCTAAGAGGGGTGATTTTAATGGGTCTGTGGATACTCAAAACTTTTCCATATAAGTGAATGGTAATTGCTTCTCTGTTTCACACCATTTTAGCACATGAAAGTTTTCACAGAATGCTCTACTTTTGGATAGTGTGGAAAACCTGTATTATTCAGCCAATAAAAATGTGAGGAAATGCTGCCATTTGTGGCAACATGGATGGAACTTGGCATTAAGCTGAGTGAAGTAAGCCAAACAGAGAAAGACAAATACTGTATGATCTCATTTGTATGTAGAATCTAAGCAAACAAACTAACAAAAAAAGAGATCAGATTTGTGGTTACCAGATGTGGGAGTGGGAGAAGGGGGACTGAGGAAGGTGGTCAAAAGTTGTTACATACATAAGTACTAGGGATGTAATGGGGAACATGATCACTACAGTAACACTCATCTATGATATACAGGAAAGCTGAAAGTAAATCCTGAGTTAAAACAGAACAAAAAAATTTCTTTCTTTACATTGTATCTATTTCACATGATGGATATTAACTAAACTTATTTGGAAATCACATCACAACACATTTAAGTCAAACCATTAGGCTGTACACCTTAAACTTATACAGTAACATATGACAATTATATCTCAATAAAATTGGGTGGAAAAAGAAGGGAAAAGAAAACACCTCTAAGCAGGTGCCTGCTCAGTGGGCTCAGTTCTCGGCTGATTGGTCCCCTGGTCCTGAAATTGCTTCCACCATGGCTTTCATAAACAGCCTTTGTTTTTGCTCAGTGTTGCAAAAAGAGCCACAGAAAGGATGAGCAAGTGCTAAAGAAAACTGCAAAAGAAAGGGCAACATGTGTTGCAAAAGCTTACAATTGCAGAAACATTGCAAGCAAGCACCGACCAGTAGGTTCTGTGTTTGGTGCTGAAAGCATTGGGTAAGCATGCTACACCCCAGCCTGCCCACTTGCTTCTTTTGTTATACCACAGCTGACTGCTGTGTGTTTCTGACTTCTCCCACTTAAAATTATGGGAAACAGGACCTGCAGTTTTATGCAGAGTATCTGATTATCAGGAACAGATGATCAACTTTAAGCATGAATAGGTATCATTTTTTATTGATTCCTTATATTATTTAGATTTTCTACATCCTGACTCCTTTGTCTCTCTATTATAAATGGACATGATGTTTAAATATTTTTCTTTATATTCACAATGCTTTGTTATGTTGTTTGATAAGATATATAAAAGCATCAGTTCACTTATTGTCAGAAATTTTCCACATTTTTACTTTCAAGTTATTATATTTTATTCTCATACACAACATACTGCCATATTTTTCAAAAGTCAAGTTTGAATTTTTAACACATGGTTGGGTATTTTAAACTTTTTTCATGCAATTGTTATGCCTTATCTAAATTTTTTCACCTTATTTAATTTGTTCTCTTTTTAAAATCTTTATTTTTTTCCTCTTTGTAATATAGTTTTAGCTTTCTTTTCTTTTCATTCTTTAATTTTCCTCATTTGTGCCTGTCGGTTATAAAGTATTTTCAATATTCACAGTGATTACATAGGTAAGTTTCTTCTTATATATGACATTAAAAATAGATCACTATCTGTTGGTGTTCCCTTTCAATAAAGGGACAGCTCACATCCCCTCCACTTCTTCCAAATCTTCTTCCCCATCTTTATTTTTAGGAATTCTTCATAATATAGTTAATTCAAAAAAGGAGGCAGTCCTTTATGTGAGTGATGACACGATATGGCCTTGATCATTGCTGAGAAATCTGACGCCAAACTGATTTCGTTCCTTAGTTTCTACATTTTAAAATCACCTCCTCGTTCTATTTCTTTTTACTCTTTGTATTTGTTTTTAACTGTTAATGTTTTATAGCTTCAGCAGAATATAAATGCATATTGTCCCGTCCCCATACTTATTTTGAAATTTATAGTGATTCTTCAATATGCAGAGTAACATTTTCATTGATTTAATGACAGTTTTATTGTATTTCTGCATATTTATTTCTGTCAAATCTATCATGGCCCCTGCTTCAAGGAAACCAGTCATTTGTTTCTGAGGGGGTCTTTATCCCTGTCCTCTGTCTTTATTATATTCCCTTTAACTATGTTCCACTAATAGGTAATCATGAATAAATGAGCACACTTGGATTCTGCATGATGATTTTAGAAAGTGATATGTAACATTCCTATAAATGGTCTCTACAAATTTCAGATAATCTCCCCATTTTAAATTAACTAAATTCTGTATTTTATGTTTCACATATTATACATTATTGTTTAATTTTTAGTTTCTTGTAGTATATATTACATACATATGAATTCATATATATATATATATACACACAAACACACACATACATATCAATCTTTTTCTTTTTTGTGTTGTCATGAATTTCCTTTAAAATCTTTTTTTATTTTCTGAGTACTTTTATGTGCCTCAATTTTATGTCTGTGGACTTATCATTTGACTTGTGTGTCACTAAGGGTATTTTCTAATCTCCGATCCCCCTCGATCACCAGCAGTACGACTGCATCGTGGGCACATCATCTTCCTTTCAATCTTTGGGTCCTTAGGGATACTAGGAGAAATTTTTGTCGGGAATTTGTTTGCTGAAACAAATCTGTGTCACATATTTTTTATTAGTCGCTTATTCATTAGATTCTTATGACTATTTCAATTTTTTTCATCAAATTGGTTCTAATCTATGTCCATTTTCTCCTTCATTTTTTGGAATGCCTCCATGTTAGCACACAGTTGCTGCTTCTTCCCCCAAGGATGCGGCAACTCTTCCTGCTCAGCATGTGGATGTTTGTATATATTTAACTGACTCTAGTCAGTGCCAGCATAGTTAGCTCCAAATATTGTTCTTTCCTGTTTCCTTTTTACCTTCAGGATGGTTCTGTGGGGACAAAAAAGGAAAGCAAGCGAGTCCAAATTCTAGGGGGAGAAAAAGGTAAAGCACGTCAACGGGTTGCATGCACACTCCCATCGCCCACACTAGGACATTCTACTCATTTGGATCCATGCTGACCTTTCCAAATCATTTGTGCCACCTTGCTTAATAAGTGGCACCCTGACTGGGGTTCTTCATATCACACACTGAACTTTGAGAGAAGCTTTCACATTAAATGTATGGGTAGATCTACACTGACTCCTGACGTCCTCCCTTATTTCAGTTCAAAGTTTACACCATCGGGTAGATTGTTTAGAATGTACATGTGTGACTTTCACTTTACTTAATTGAAGGTATGTTATTGTTTTGGTTATTTTCTAAGAGAGGCAATGGAGGAAAATGATTTGTTCAACCAACTTTCCTGAAAACATTTTCTCATGAAATGTTTGCAGAGTAGCACCCAAGCACTTACACAGAAACAGAAATTCAAGACGGTCTTTTTTTCTTTGTATTTCACAGAGTTGTTACTAAGGCATTAGTGCCTCTTCAGCCTTGTTCATCTTTGTCTTACTTTCAAGAGTTGGCATTTGGAAAAAATAATGAACAGCACCCACATCAAATTACAGGTTTATACAAGTTTTTCTACCAATTGTGCCATAGTCTAGAGTTAATCTCAGGCCTTCTGTTGACTATATTATTGTGGAATCTTGTCAGAACTACATGCAGAGAAAATTTACAGTTTATAGCTGTCCTGTTTAATCTCTAATTCTGATGAGTTAACCACTGCTCAGTGAACTGGCAAAAATGCATCAGTAGTAGATTAAGAAACGTGTAATGTGCTAGATCTCTCTGCTCTCAAAAGGCCATGTAACAGGGAGGTTCTTAGTGGAAAAAGAACAGTGAAATATTTGCATTCTCTGCATGATTAGTAGAACGACAGGAGGCCATTCTTGAAGGGTGGTCTGGAGCAATGTGGTAAAAAACAGTCAATGAGAAGCTTAACCACATGGACAAAGTAATCTTTTAAATTTGCATCTTTTCCTTAAATCCTTTTATTTTATATTACTTTGAACACTTTTTAGAGCAGTTCTAGATTTACAACAAAATTTAGAGGGAGATAGAGAGATTTTTCTGCATCTTGCTCCCACACATGCATAGTCTCCCCATTATCAGCATCACTTGCCAGAATGGTAGTTTTCCAAGGACAAACCTACATTGATAAATCATACTTAAAGTCCATAGTTTGTCTTACGGTTGACTTTTGGTATTGTACTTCCTGTGGGTTTAGGCAAACGTATAATGACACCATTTTAATACCATACAGATTATTTTCACTGCCCTAAAAATCCTCTGTGCTTTGCATAATCATCTCACCTATACATATTTTTGAATCATGCAGTATGTGGTCTGTTCAGATTGGCTTCATTCACTTACTCATATGCATTTAAGTCTTCTCCACGTCTTGTCATGGCCTGTTTGCTCATTTCTTTTTAGCTCTGGATAGTATTCTGTTGTCTGAATATATCAATTTCTTTATCCATTCACTAACTATAGCAGGTTGTGGTTGCTTCCAAGTTCTGGCAATTATGTATAAATCTGCTATAAACATCTGCATGCAGATTTTTGTATAGGCAGAACTCTCAACTGCTTTGGGTAATACCAAGGAACATATTGATAGATCCTATGTTAAGAATTCATTTTGTTTTGTGAGAATTTGCTGAACTGTTTCCAAAGTGGCTGAATCTTTTTGCATTCCTACCAGCAGTGGGGGAGAGCTCGTGTTGCTCCCATCCTCACCAGCATTGATGCTGACCTTTTCCAGACTTTGGCCATCCTAATAGCTTTATAGTGGTATCTCATTGTTTTAATTTGCATTTTCCTTATGACAGGTGGTGTGTAAGATCCCTTCTAATACTTATTTGCCATATGTTTATCTTCTTTGTTCAGGTGTCTTTAAGGTCTTTGGGCCATTTCTTAATTGGCTAAATTGTTTCTTTTCTTTTTGTTACATTTTGAGTTTTTCTTTGTGTATTTTTGGTAACAGTCCTTCATCAGATTTGTCTATTACAAACATTTTCTCCTAGTCTGTGTTTTTTCTTCTCACTCTCTTTGTATTGTTATTTGCAGAACTGAAGACTTTAATTTTAATCAAGTGCAGTTTATCCATTATTTTTTTCATGGATTCTGTCTTTCGTCATATCTAAAAAGACATTGCCATCCCCAGGATCATCTAGGTTTCACCTATTTTATCTTCTAGGAATTTCATAGTTTTGCATTTTGCTTTTAGGTCTACAATCAATTTTGAATTAATTTTTGTGGTGTGTGTGAAGATCTCTGACAACTCATTTTTTTTTCATGTGGACATCAGTTGTTGAAAATGTGAAAGTATCTTTTCTGCATTTTGTTACCTTTGCTTCTTTTTCAAAGATCATGTGGCTATATTTCTGTGAGTCTATTTTTGGGCTCTCTATTCTACTCCATTGATTTACTTGCCTGTTCTTTTGAAACTTTGCTCCTCTGATTACTGAAGCTTTATAGTAAGTCTTGAAGTTGGATAGCATCAATCCTCCACCTTGGTTGTCCCTGTTCAATATTGTGTTGGCTATTTGGGGTCTTTTGTTTCTTCCTATAAACTTCAAAAAAAAATTGTCAATATCCATAAAATAACTTGCTTCGATTTTTATAAGGATTGTATTGAATTTATAGATCAAGTTGGGAAGAACATAGATCTTAATAATATTGAGATTTCTTATTCATGAACATGGAATATTTCTCCATTTATTAAATCTTCCTTGATTTTGCTCATCATAGTTTTATGGATTTCTTCATTATAAATCTGGAACACATCTGATTTATCAGTCTGTGTGCTAATATAAATGACATTGTGTTTTTAATTTCAAACTCCATTTATTTATTGCTAGTATATAAGATAGTGTGACTTTTCTTTGTATAGTGTATCCTGCAATCTTGCTAAATTGGTCACTAGTTCCTGGAATATTTTGTATATTCTTTAGCATTTTCTTCATAAGCATTCATGTCACCTGAAAACGAAGACAGTTTTATGCATTCCTTCCCAATCTGTATAGATTTTATTTCCTTTTCTTGCCTTATTGTATCAGCAAGGACTTCCAGTACGATGTTGGAAAGGATGGTAAGAAGGGACATCCTTGCCTTATACTTGATCTTAATT